GAGGGGGGGGAGGGGGGGAATGTCCTAGCCGTTAGACCATTGACCACGCGTTCTCGAGAGGACGGAGCATAGGACCGATAACCGATGGCCAATCGTTCCTTCCTCGGTGGCTCCAAAAGGTTTTGGGCAGCGGGTGTTTTGTTAGAGGATCGAGTGATGTTGTACGTAGGGTCGGTGTGTGAGGGATGCTTAGCGCTCCCTGCCAACACTTTCGATTTCTGTCGGTACTGATATGCTGACGGGCCGGTACTTGCATCTTGCGTGAGGTGGACAGGTGGCCGGTTCGGATGGTGCTCTCGAGCAGAGACTTGGACGGCTTTTCGTGTTAAGGCAACAACTGCGACAACAGCAAGAACATCACCAGCAACATCAACAAAGCAACTACAACGAAACAACTACAACATCAACCAAGACAACCAAAACAGAAACCATTACGCGTGTTTTTTTCATTTGTTTTCGATGGCAGGTGCGTCATGGCCCACTTCCGAAACCTGCGTCTGTCGTCGGATGGGGAGGAGATGATCATCGTCACCGGCCATCAAGAGGAGGACGGGACAGCAGTGAAGCACCACCACAAGTTCGCCCTGGCTGAACTTCTCGAGGTGTGTTGTTGTTGTTGTTATTGTTGCCGTCCGTGTTTGAGAGGCGGAGCTTTAAATTTGGGATAAAAAACGCTGGTGTTGGCAGTGGTGGTCCCGCCGGTGGTGTTGGTGCTACACTATCCCGATAGACGTGTTGTTATTTGTTTTCCGTTCTTGTACCTTTGTGTACCGGTGGCAATATTGCGGAACAGGAGGCACGGAATAAAGGTGCTCTGCACGATGTACAGCAGTGTGAAGGCAGAAAGGCGTCCTGTGCTTTCTCTGTCGACAAGAACAATCGTCCGTTGAAATTAGCGTCAACACCGCTTGGCATTGACACGGCGATCGTCGTGTGTATGCATGTCATTGCTATACTATCGGTTTTAATACCTTTGAAACTCAATCCTCCCAAATGCCGTAGGTTGCGTAAGATACCACACATCCTAGACCGATATTCAAAGTTCGATTTCTCCACGACGAAGGGCATGCCGAGTTCAAATGACCCTTTTTCGGATAGCTTTCGACGAGACAGTTTGTTCCAACGCCTCCCGCCATACTCGGCGCCGTCACTGCCACTACTGCCGAAAAGTCGAGGCTTGAAAACCGGCGGAGGGGGTGTGATCTCTTATGCAACCTATGGTATTTGTGGGAGCAATGCTTCGTCCTCTCGAGGGCGCGAATTCGACGCCCATAGCAGCTAAGGCATGCAAAGGCTCCCCTTACAAACGCACACACGTGTGCGTGTGTATGTTTTCTTTTTATTCAGGTGGATAAAGACTTGACGGGAAGAACCGTCACCCTCGTGGGACGTTCCGCGAAAATCTGCATCTCCTTCGAGGGGCACGCCTCCGCCCTCCGGTACTTCACCGAGATGCTGCTGGGCCCCTCGCCGCCGCCGCCGTCACCGCAAGCACTAATACCAACATCGACAACGTTAGCGGCAACCTCGGAGTGCGGGGGCGGGGGCGGGGGCGGGCAACGCTTGGAGGTTGTCGTCGATGGGGACGATGGCGACGACGGGCCCATCGCGCATCCGGTGAGAGAGGGAAGGGGTTTGAGGGAGGAAGGGGTGTGGGACAGGAAGGGGTATGATGAAGGCGTGTGGGAAAGAGGAAGGGGTGTGTTGAACTCGTGTGGGGAAGGAGAGGAAGGGGTGTGTGAGAGAGAAAGGGGTGTGAGAGAGGTAGGGTGCTGACATCTTTGCATCCCTCGTCAACACACAAGTCCCATGACATCAGGAGTGCGTTGGTTGTTCTTTTTTTCCGTTGGGCACAACCTCGCCTACCCTCTTTCCCTGTAAAATAACCAACCCCGTTCTTGCAACGCTGCAAACGGTCGCTTAAACAATGCATTGCAAGACATACACTACCCCCCCCCCACAACAACGTGATCAAGGCAACTCCGGTGCGTGTAGCGGAAAACATTACCCAATCGAATAATCAGCGCATCACGTTGTT